CAAATAATCATTTTAATTTGGATTGTTTATATTTTAAATATGACTAGATACTCTTAATATGCAATATTTCATGCTTGAAATCGATTTAATAAGCATATCTATTTTAAATGTAAACTTATTCGTTTTGATTATGATGAGAATGACGACATTGACTTTTTTCTATATTTAATTCTGATGTAAATGATTCGGATTTCTATTCTTTATGATAATGTTTTTGATAGAAGTATTAAATCAAAATGCTGTTCATACGCTAAAAATTTCCATTAAAGATGCCTTCAAATATTCCCCCCATCAAAAATATTGCTAGCAAAGAGAGAAAGTTTAAATAAAAAATTGCAGAATACTGTTCGACGAAATTATATTTCAATAGAATAAAAGATCATATTAAATTTTTATGGATAGTATTCAACAATACCTTCTATTTATGATATTAATCTTAATCTATAAAAATAGAAAGAAATTGAATCCCTTTATTCTAATCTTGAAATAATGATTGCTTCAAAATACAACTTCAGCAACTTTTTATCATCATCATCATTGGTCTAAAGATGTGTTCCTTATGGCAAGTTGATTTTATTTTTTAGGCTCACCAAAGTCTTCGATCAAATACACCTGGCTCATGTAAGCTGGTAAATTGTAGATGTTTCTCCATTACATTTGCCCAATTTTCCAAGTCTATTTCAAGCTCCTCATGAACTATTTCTAACTGCTATTTATTTACATTACCTAATTTTTAACGCAAAGAATGGTTGCTTATTGACAAAAATCTGCCTGTAATAGACTTATACTCCCTGGAAAAAAAAGCAATATATATACTTTGCTCCTCCGTTTGTGGCTTTGTTTTAGACTCATCTTATTATTTTTTGTTAATAAGTTACACAGGCGGAGCCAAAGGAGGAAAATGGAGCTTTTCCTTTCCCTTGGCATATTTGCTTTTAACATAGCATGCTAATAAAAGTAACTCTCAATAATTTTTTTAAAAAGAAATAAAGGTTAATTTTAATGGAGGGAAGCTCCTACCTTCCACTAAGGAAATCTTAGCTATGATTATGACCTGGTAGAAAGATTTTCATGAAGTATATAATTATATTATTCATATTCTTAAACTATATTTACAACAATAAAATTTTATCAAAAGGCATAAAAATCATTATCTCAACTTCATTAAAAACAACAATCGTTTATAAATGATTTTCCTAAATTTCTTGCGAAAAAAAATCATTTTAAAATATTTCAAACGAAAAATTTTCAACTCGAATTACTTAACAAGTAAAGGAATACAAATATAATGAAAGATTGAGATAGAAAGGGATATGTACCAGTGGCATCACTAGCCTCTATCTTCTCAGGGAGCTAAAAAAATTGATGTTACTGAATTTAATAAAAGTTCAAAGTAAATTATCAAGTATATATTTTATTTATTTTTACGAAAACAAATAAATTTGCTAAGGGCCTAGATGAGCATCATCATGAATATAATTAGTGATTAATTTAACTGGATTTTCAAAAAAATATATAACATAAACCGAACATTTCAGGACGGACAAGCAATACCGTGTCAAGTCAGGATACACTGTACCGAGCCGGTCATGCAATACCAAACCAAGCAAATCAATTAGGATAAAACCAAACAGTATCATGCTAATTAAGTTTGAACGATATGATATAACCAGAACCCGATCAATAGTGGAGAAGTCGTACCGAGCCGATAAATCCAGGAGACATGCCGCAACGAATGATCAAGATAATACCTACTATGACAATCTAATCCAAAGCCAGGACAAGCTATATCAAATCAGGCAAAGGTAATTTAAATATAATTTATTGCTCAAGCCTTTTGAATTTTTTTTAGAGGAATGTATAAAACTATATATATTTGCTTTAATATAAAATATTACATATATTCCTAGACCGAGGGAAATTATCTCCTTTTTTTTTAATTAGTTATATTAAATTTAACTTATAAATTTTGTATATTTTATTTATTTACTTAAATTTTCAATTTCAAATATTCAAAACGTATTAAAAAATATATATTTAAAATTATATAAACTAAATTATTTTAAAAAAACGATAGAGAGAGGGGTTAAAAATTATTTTGTCAAGCATAGAGTCTAAGATGGAGATAATATTAGATCTACATATCTCAAGAAATAATCTTTGACTGAGATATAAATTTAGGATCTCCAGTGATTGTTGTTAACTTTTTACCCAAAATTTTAAAAATATAATTGCAACTTCTTCGAAGTTCTATAATGTGGTAGTATGATAGTAACAAAGGTTAGATAACATACATTTTATAATTGTAAATATTTTTTACATTTGGATAATTATGGGGCACAATGGATGTGTATTGTGAGTTCGATTTTGCCAACGCATCTATACATAATCTCATGTAAGAATGACGCCGTCCCTGGTCTTTTATTGTTACAGGTATTTAATCCGACTGATTGAAGGAATGTTGACTGATAGAAGCTCCTTGTAGATTAAGTTGTTAATTGTCCGGTGACGGGGGTGTCTGCTCTTATAAAATTTTCAGTGTAAGGAGTGATGCCCTTTACTTCATACCTGAGTGTTGCAGTGAGTGCATGTGTGTGGTGTGACGATATAGATGTTAGGACTGAGTCCTAATGATATCCTTAGTTTTTCGAGAGAGTGGTATGTATCTAATTGATTGGGGATTACCTTTAGACGTTCGTTTCCATTTTGAATTTTTAAAAAATGAAAATTGATAAGTTCCTCTGTTTGCAGGTTGGGAAGGATAAAATTAACGGAACATGCTCAGTGAGAGTTCCAATCTTTTTGGAGGACGATTATTGGGAGAAGTGTGTTGGGTAATAAGCTGTTTGGAGATATTGGTCTGGTAAGAAAATTATTTTGTTATAAGCTCGTTGGAAGAAAGGCAGGATGAAATGAAAGATGCTAGTCATAAAGAAATTGAGGATCGGATTCCTATATCCCCAGTTTTGGAAGAAAGGGAAGCTTGCATCGATGATATAAGGGTGATAATTTGATGTTCAAAACTTATTCTTAACAGTCCTTAATTATGTTTTTAAGAGAATAATTGATCAAGATGTATGATGACTGCTGTAGATCTGAATGCATAAAGGATATTAGGCATATAAAGGAAATTTTTTACTAGGAAAATTGAATGATGAGGTAGGAGCAATAAGAGTAAGGGCTATAGATCTTGTATTGTTGATATAAAATTGTTTAAAAAGGAGCTAACTGCTCACATCCTCCAATGGAGGCGTCAAGGTGTGTGAGTTAGGATCTATAAATATGTATGAAAGGAAATTCTCTTTTGGGGGATAATATGGATGGAAAGAAAAGTTCGCATTTACTGGTATTAAGTGATAGTCCTGTGAATGGTTTTAATTTTTTGATTATAATCGGCACCTTAATTATTTCGCTGCAACCGTGCCATCATCTAGGTACCAGATGTTTAGTCAAGTTTTAAGCATCAGCCGCTATTCTTTGTATCCCTGGATTACCTTTTTGAATGCCCTGTTGTGATTGGATAATATTTTTGTCAAATTTGAGATCTGATATAGCAGTTTAAAATGAATTGTGTATGTTGGGGATAAACTTGAATGAAAGCTGAAAGAAAGAAAGAAAGAAAGAAAGAAAGAAAGAAAGAAAGAAAGAAAGAAAGAAAGAAAGAAAGAAAGAAAGAAAGAAAGAAAGAAAGAAAGAAAGAGAAAGAAAGAAAGAAAGATGAATAAATTTCTATGGTTACTATTAAAGGTGTTATTAAAATCAAGTTTTAAAATGTATAGGTTATCCGCATTTTCGAGATAATACGAGTGGAGTGGGAGACGGTGGCACAACCATTCTTTGCCCCATAACTAGTTGGCGGGGTTGTAAAAATGTACTGAGATTTGCTTTAATTCGGTATTTACTATTTTTATTCCTATTCTACAGGCCGGCAGCAATTGGTCGTATGCCACCATCTTTTTGTTTAAAGTTATTAGATCTGTCCCAAATAAAACGGGCCTAACATCGGGTGGGGTCTCCGTTAAAAATTTTGTTTAAAAGGTTGGTCTAGTAAGCGTTTACTTGATGGGATGGTGTGTTTTAAGAGATCTTGTAAACAGATTGGTCGAAAGTCCTCCTGCTGAATCTTTTTTAAATGAATTGATGGCATATGATACCTTTCTGTGAAATTAGATGGAGGGGTATGAAGCGTATTGACAGGGGGTATTGTATAAGAACCTTGGGCATGTTTTAATTGGAGTAATTTTAAAGTGTTAAGATTTGTTAGGGTTAGTTAACAACAATTTAAAATGTTAATCTGTAATAAAAATTATTAAATGTAGAATTTTATGTAAATTTAATTAAAATGAACAATTTTAATTACAAAAAATTTTGTAAAAAAAATATATAAAGAAACATGATTTTTAAGATAAACCTAGCCGAAGACCGAGTAAAAAGGCTGAAGGCCCAATAAAGGAAGGTCAAGATATAGCCCCTTCCCCCACCCCTAGGATTTTAGAGGTATGATGGATCTCATCCCCGAAGAAAATTCTTAGCTACCTCACTGATTACGATAACTAAGACGTTTATCATATTATTGATATTCTATAAATAACTTACCATTTGATAATATATTAGCCGTCATTTTGAAATTTTGGCCACCATGTTAGATTTTTAACCAAGAAAAAATCTTTGAACGATTAGAAGGAAATAAATCTACTTATTTTTTGAGATTATTATTAGTTTTAATTTTAAAATTGGGTGATTGATTTAAAATACATATTTTTTTATTATAACAACCAAAGTAAAAGAAAACTGAAAAGATCTTTTTAAAATAAATATATTTTATAAAGATATTATCACCAAAAATATAGATATATAATTAAGCACTATTTGTTTTTCTAATAGATCATCAAATTAAAGTTATTTCACTAGGATTTATATTAAACAACTTGTGTAATCATAATAAGATAAAATATATATATAATTATAGCAAACAATTTTAACGCATAGATAACATAGTCTCAATCTGATTTTTCTCCTTTGATTTTGATGGAATTTTTGTCCTTTTCAACTATCTTCCAGGGTCGTAAGAATTTTTTTTTGCCTTTGTAGAGGGATCCATTTTGATATCCCGAAAAATAATTATTGGATTTAGAGCACAAACTATGGTTAAAATAGTTCAGGTTTGTTCTATAAAGACCTTCTTGGTAATCCATTGTATTTAAACAATTTTTATTATAGTATGTTGAGATTGGATTGATTATTTTATGTTTCAAAGTACCTTTCCTGTTTTCAAAATTACCAATTGCATCAGTCTTCACCGCTTTGATTTTTTTAACGGGTTTATTACAATTTATCCCTGAGTTCATCATTTGTAACATATGATCGTAATTAGTGCCCAAATAGGAATGGTAAGTTGGGGGAAAATAATGGCGGGGTAATATCGTATTAGCCCATGAATTTGATCCACTAATTTTGGAAGGGTAATAAAGCCAATAATTCGCAGCCGAAAGCAAATTTTCGTTTGTTAATTTAGATATGGAAAAATTGTTTGAAAGAGCTAGGCTCTTAGTTCGAAGAGGGTACGGGGAGATATTATCAGTTGATTGATAATTTACGATATTCGATTCTCCCGATCCTAACTGTTTACTTGCGCAATTAGACACAGTTGAATATACTTTATTCCTAAAGTCGGTTTCCTCAGATTTCTTTTTAATGAACATGTCACTGTAGGATATGATATTGTCGGAGATTGTGAATTGCTGCTTGTAGGTATTATCACACATATCATCATATTCTTTGGACAAAGGAGATAAAGTTGAATTAAAGTTATCGATATCTTCACACTTTTTAGGAGCGAATATCGAATGGTCGGAGTTCTTCAAAGGTCGAATATCATTTTCGAAAGGTATAGTATCTTCACATTTTGAGATGTCAGTAACTTCCGTCTCGCTCAGGTTACCTTTCAAAGACGTTTCGTCGTTTAGAACAAAATCCATGGTTTGTTTTTTGTTTTTTTCGGTTTTACGCCATTTAGCCCGCCTGTTTTGAAACCAAACCTATATTGTATTATAATAAATAGAAGAAAAAAAAGTATAATAAACCATACTATTGCTGTTCATTAGTATTTAATACTAATACTAATACACTTTAAATTGATCCTAAGATTTTTATAAAATTCCTAACAGGCATATGGCAAGTTATGGAAGGTTAAATGCCCTCCCCCCCCCCCATTCCCATGTATTATAACAAGGGGACTCGTTGTTAGCTCATTTTACAACAAGGCCAATTCTATTTTTTTTTGGTAATTAAATCTACGCCACCTTTTTAAATTTTTACATACTACAATCAGATGAGGGCCACAAAAACCTTGGGATCCCTCGCAACAAAAATCTGAAAAATTTTGGCTTGGTTTCGCGCCATAGGGAATATGGGGGGGGGGTCAAACTTACGGATTCAGAGTATAATACAAACGTTGATTTTTGCTCATCTGGTAAAATCGCGATTGACTGACTTTATAATATAGATAATTATTAAGCCTGCAATACTCCTATGGGGTTTATGGGACCCCGGGCATGCTAGAATTAATATTACATATAAAAATTATTATGATTTGGAATCTTCAGTATCATCAAATATCTCTTAAAATATATATTCCATATTTCTTCTATTTAGGTTGAGTGGTGTAAAAGATATAAGCATTTTGTGACTGTTTTTGAGACCCCACCAGAGTAAATTGATAATTTTTTTAAAAATTTATTTTTTTAAATTATTATAATTATCTCATTTTGCTCTGGTGGGGTCTATAGGTTATTTTTTCCCCAGATTATTGAAAGGTTAATTAAGTGGATGTTAATTAAAATAAATTGTAAGCAGGAAGGATATTCTCTATTTTTTAATTTGAGCTTGGAAAAGGCTGCATTGGATGATATGTGGCTCTATTATTATTTTTTTTCTTTTATTCAGATGTTTCTTCTTAAACTGTAATAAAGCATAATTTTTTTATAATCAATCCGTATATTCTCATAAACTGAATTGGTCCATACATAGGACTGCATATCTTGAAGTGTGCAGGCCCATGAAGGGCGATAGTTTGACCTTCTCTATTTCCGAGACGTAATCATTTAAATGATTGATTACATAATTAAATAATTATAATTATCACTTGTTATGGATAAAATATATTTAATGTATTTGTTTTTAAAAAGGTTTCTTTTATTTTGCCTTACCTTGATTTAAGTAATTAATCTAAATAATGGGATTTTATGATGTTGCTTCCGAATGATTGCATGATATATCAAAGCAATCATGTCCCCCTACACTCCTCCCGCTCCCTCTTCCCTATGAGTATAATCGACACATGGGCTTAGCCTGGGGGTGGGGGGAACTAAGGGAAAATCTCTACTTAATAAATATGTCTCTTCTTGAAAATATTATTTTAAGCTACAAAGATGCATTTAATATATTTAAATAAAATAAACAAGAATTTGAAAAAAAAAATCAGTCGATGTTAATAATTTTTAGAATAACGACTATAATTCCATTTAAAAAAGTTATTTATATAATTTTAAAAAAAAATAAATTATTTTTATAAATATCTAACATAGACAAAGACTTACAATAAGTTTATGGAAAAAAATCTCACCTAATAATGCCACCATCTTCTCCCCGCCTAGAAAATTTTTGGCTACGCCTATGAATCAACACATACTGCAGAAGGAAATTCTGAAATTCCTATTTCCTAAACTCATAGGATTTTCTATCCTAATCTTAAATTTATATCATTATAAACAATATTTTTTTAAATGTATCTTACTACCAAAAATGTTTTTCCAATTTTTTACGAAAATTCTAAATTAGATATGTTAATGGTATTGTTACATAATACGGACACTGATTAGAGGGCGTTAATTATAATAAATGAAACTGAAAAAAAAGAAAAAAATTATGGAAGGTTAATAATTTTTAAAAACCTGAACTCTGGCTTCAGTCAGGTTAATTCTCATGGCTAAATCTTCTCTGGTAAACACGTCTGGATAATGTGTGATGGCGAATATGTTTTCGAGTTCTTCAATCTATTTTTTTTTAAATAATCGTTTTCATAAATTATTTTAAATTTATGATATGTAATTTTATTTTACAATTTGCCCCATTTAAAAAAAAATAAATAAGATTATTAATTTTTATAAGCCAATCTGAAATGACCAAAAACTTGAGAAAGAATATGGGCGTAGTAACATGTGTCAAAGACTGACTCAACTAACGTAAATAGGCAATTTCTTGATTGAAGTTTCAGGACATAGAGACAGGCCACGACTGACTTAGATTTGGCAAATCCGTAAGGATATGCTGAATAAGAAAATTTTTGTTGATATATTCCAAAGACGAGTCGTCTAGAAAAATAGGACACATTTTAAGGACCCTATCATTTTGGGGTTATCATGATGAGGAAGAACTCCTAATAAATTATAATAATTTATACTTCACAAAAATTATTAATTCGCAATGCCTAAATTTATTTTGAAAGCAGCCAAAATATATTTTAAATTGAGGTTAACGTTTTTTTAGAACTTGTCTGACTCTTTGCCATTGAATTTATTTTATTGCACTCCCCCCCCCCTTTCCGTGTCAGAAGAACTTGCCAAACAGGTGGGGATGTGGATAAATCCTTCCAAGACAAATTTACATGTTTTCGTAAATATTAATTTAGCCTAATTAACATCCCCGACCCCTCTATCCCAAAAAATTTATTGTTATATGTCATTATAAAAAAAATAAAATAGTTCTTTTGATTTTATATAAAATAAATGACTATAAAGCCCCATCTTGATAAACATTCCTCTTTGCGGGACAAAAGCTTCTTTTGGGGTTTTGGGGGTTTTTGAGGCTTATATCTTGTATAACTTGCGTTTAAAATAAAAATATAATTTCTTAAATTTTCTGTGATGGAAATTTTGGTATCATGTCAATTCTGTGCGAATTCGACGACAATTTGGTGCTGTATATTATAACTTGTTTTGATTCGAATTAATAAATTATTTTTATAATAAAAAGCTAAAACTAATTAACACAATTTTTATTTATTTGTATTCATAAAATAGATATAGAAAATATAAATATAGTATATATATTTTAAAATATAAATCTAAATGGGTATCTTGTCTGTCTTAGACTAAAAAAATATTTATAGGTCAATATTTTATTTTCTAAATTAATTGTAAATTGTAACCATCTTTGGACATATATATTCCCAAATATTATTGCATCTATAGAAATATTTTCGTTTTACCAAATTTAATTCTTGTTTATTGGGACTATAAGTAATATACTTCTTTGAAAGACTTTTGAAAATAAAAATGAACTAAAAGTTTCATAGTGGCGAATTTTCGCCTCGCCGAATTATCGCTGCATCAACTTGTCGCTGCGCCAGGCTGAAATGTTGCCGCTGGGCGGAAAATTTTATGTCCCGAATTACGTGTAATCATAAATTTTATCTATGAATTCTCTAAATCCATTTAATAATATATATTCATCAAAAAACTCAAAAATTAGCTCTTTATCGTTAAAAAACAACTGTTTACCAAGACGGGGTGTGATTAAAAAAATTTAGAAAAAAAACTAAATACCTTCAATAGGTTTTAAATCTAAAGTTCTTTAGTACTCGAAAAGTGCCTCCTATACCCCAATGATTGAGGAAAAATACTCCCCATAAAATTATATTATTTTAAATAATATAAAATCGTTCTTGATTGCACAAAAATGATATTAAATATAATCAAAATTTCTAACAATTTTAAGAAAAAGATTTACGTCAGGGCATAGAAATTCAGATTATAAAATCCAATGTCATATGCTTCATGGGTTCACTTCCTGAGCAGTCAGAATGATTTAGATTTTTTCCTCCTTCTCTTCATTGTTTATAATCATCTTTCTCAATTTAATAAATAAAATGTATACCTATTTTTTCTCATTTATATTCAAGATTTTGATATATATATATATATATATAATATATAAATCCTTCTTAAATATATTAATTTCTGTATGAATTGAATTGATTTTTCCCGTAAATTTATAATTATTAATTTATATCATTCTTTAATCAATTCACCTGATATTTAAACTTCAAGTACATTTATAATATATTTATATTATTGCAATATATTTAGATTACAATTATAAGTTAATTTTTAAATTATAATATTATTGTAAACATATTTTTAAATATTTTTTAAAATATTCAAAATTGAGAATGACTAAAAAAATTAATATAATTAATATTAAAAAGAATTGTGAATAGACAGGCGCTTACGCAGGAATTTAGACTGGGGGAAGGGGGGGGATAATAAAATTTTTTAAGAAATATTATTGTTTTTTAAAAATATCAAGCATAAATTTATTAGGACTAATAACTATTTCTAATACACAATTTTAAATTAATGTGAATTATAAAAAAATTATATGTAATGACTTAAATGACCCAAAATAGAAATTTGAATTTTTTGAGCCTTTAAAATTATATATATAAAAATTTAAAGGTTGGAAATATAAATTAATACACAAAATGTTTATAAGGAATAATTGTATTTTGTGTTATATATTTACATGTAAAATCCAATCTTCGTTGTGATTGAGCTAATTTTTCAATTATCTCATCCTTGCTTGTCGTCAAATGCCTATGAATATTCAAAAAATCCAAACCTTTCAATCTACTTTCAGATGTTGTACTTCTTGGTATTTTTCAAAGACCTGCAGGCCCGACCACCGAGCCTGACAGTATTTTAATTTTTTTAAATATACCGGGTCGGGCCCGAAATTTTTTTAAAAAAACACCCAAGCCGGCCTGAATTATTTTAAAGAAACACTTAATCCGGGCTGTATTTTTTAAAACAGCCTATATTTGAAATCGTTATTATTAGCTATAAAAATCAAAAATAAATATAATTTTTTTTAAAAAATTCGGGCCGGGCCTGAAAATTTTATTTAAAAAAAAGCCGAGTCGGGCTTAAAATATTTTTAAAAAAAGCCGGGTCAGGCCTGAAATTTTTTTTAAAAAACCCAGGCCGGGCCGTAAAAATCTTTAAAAAAAATCCGGGCCGTGCCCGTCAAATCATACTTCTGCATGTCTCTGTTATTCTTCTTAAAAAAGAGAATGTTCTCTCATTAGTTTACTAATGGGAAGAATTTATAAACCCTTTTACATTGGGAATTTAATCTAAAATGTGTTTGAAATAATGCAGAGTATCCATAGCATTTTTTGGGACTATATCAACCATAGTTAATCTTATAAACATAGTTATTCAGCTAGTAAGGCATCATAAAATACTTTAACATCTTCATAATAAAAATCTAACAAATATTTTTTTTTCTATCACCATCTGAAAAAGTCTGGGAAAGCTTTTGTGGAAGTAATATTTGCGTAGTAAGTGCTGCATGATGAATTAAAAATTCATTTATTTGGGTTATAAATGTATCTGTATTTAAGATATACTCTTCTACTGATTCTATATTAATGTTTTAACGATGAGCTTCCCTTGCTACAAGTCGAGGGAGACAAATATTAAATACGTATAGCTCTTGACTCAACAATAAAATATGAAATTCTTCATCAACATTAGCCCTAATTTCCTTGAGTTAAAATGCTCTCCGCTATTCTCATCTTCTTAATCAAGTCAATCTCATGTTTTTGAAAAGTAATACTTAAAATAGATGTATAATTAAATAATACATTCTAATGAGAAATAAAATTTGGAATAAGCAATGAATCCAATAATTTTCTTGCTTCTGAGAAAATATTTTCTTTCGGGCCATTGTGATATTTCAGTAATAGCAAATAATTGGCTCTTCTAACTCCTTAAAAGCTGTTACTTAATGATGACAGAGACTCTATCTCGTTGGACAAGGTTGCAATTTCTTTTTCCCTGTTGGACAAGAAGTTCAGAAATAATTATTATTTGACTAGAAATTTGAAAATGGTAGATAAATATTACGGCGCTAAAAATTTGAAAATAATAAGTAAATATTACGCCGGACAACTTGAAATCGAAATTAATTGATAAAATAACTTAGTAGATAAATGTGATAATAAATGTAATTAAATATATATTTAATATTAGATAAATTAACATCCTTTCTGACGGTAATTTGATATAATTGTTTCAAATGTATATAATACCCCTTTGCAAATTTAACGAAACGTTTGTTTTCTTCTATTATCCCGATGTAGGAGTCACTGCCTACGGGAACCAATAAAAAAATAGAAGAAATTTGGGGATCCAATGTAAATGGGGGAAATTTTATATTAGTTATTGTCGTATTTGTAAATACGTGAACGTTTTATATTTTTTTTTTACGCGAGATGCCAATCAACCAATTAAAATAAGGTTGATTGGATAGAAAGATTAGATGTAATATATTATATGTGGATTATTATATTTTTAATTAATTAATTTTTATAAAAATTACGGATATTTTTTGTATAAAGAAATGAATTTTCTTTTGAATAAAATTTTTGGATTTATATTGTAGTTTTATTTGTCTTTTGATATGATAATTTCATATAATTCTTGACGATTCGTTTTTTAGAAAGTTTGGTTAAGTTTCTAGGATTTGTTTGGGTAGATTTTAGATTTGTTTTAGTTTGTGTTTGTAGGTTTTTTTTAGTTATATCAATACGGTAATAAATATCATAAAAATGAATATACACTCTTATATTTTTAAAGCTTAAAATATAATAAATGTCAATTAGTAAAGTGATTGATTTATTTCTTTTTCGAATAAATTTTTATTAAATTTTTTTTTACAAAATTAGATATGTGTGTGTGTAATATAATTTTACCTTATCAGCCAAGATTTTGAAATAATTTTTGCAAAAAAAAAATTAACCTATTCCTCAAAAATAAAAAACGATAAAATTATAGGTCAGATCCGATCCGATTCTAGGATAAAATAAAAATAATTTTTATCTGTTCGGTTGGGTCCGTCCGATTTAATCCGAAAAAAGAATAATATTGAGTAGGTAAGATTATTCATATTTAGAGGAGAATATATAAATTTTTTTTACTAAAACGAATATTTATAAAAGCATTTTAAGAAAATTATTTTTTGCCGAGATCTAAAAGCCATCCCGATCCCGATAAATATTTCAAAATAAAGCTCCGATCCGACAGAGTATTATCCTTGTTCTAGGAAGTGGGGGGGGGGCTTTTAGTACGGGAAAGTGGGACAATGCAAGTTCTTGGCTGAAATTAGAAAGAGGAAGATAGTATGAAATAGCCAGACATGGAAGCCTTCCTTGGCTAAAATTTAAAATAATTCAATTAAAAAATGGATACTAACGTATGTTGAATAAGAAAGTATCCCTCACTCCTCCCCCTTGAGTTACTCCCTACATCTTAATGGCAGAAATGATTCACCCCTTCTCCGTCTCTGTGTTAGAGAGCCTTGATTTCTCCCAACAGTCTAAGATAATTTGAGAGTTGCTAGAGGAAACAGGTTTATTTGACCACTCTAAGTTACAGTTGATTTACTTTACTTGAACTCTGATATATTTATACTTTGTTTAAAGTGGCCGGGTCGGTCCGGTCAATTCCGACCGAAGGCCTATTAAAAAATCTAAAGGTTTACTATGAATCTATTTTTAATTAATAACAGTCCTAATTTTTTTTTATTCATATGCATTATTGCTTAAGAAAAGTAAATTAGCTTTGGCCTGGATTTATAGTATAATCCTATCCAGCTCGATTTAACAGCTGATCGATTTTTAAAATCTCTTTATGAGATCAATATTTTTTAAATAGTATACTAATTTTCTATTTAATTCTATTTATGATAATAAATCGAAGAATTATTGATTTAAATAAAGATAAATTGATTTCATGATTTTTAAAATCGCCAAACTGTTTAAATCTTATCCGATCCCACTACGAATCCAGGCTTAGAAGTAAGTTAAACTGAAACGAGATCCAAATAAGAAAGTTAAAATGGGCCTTTAAATAAATCTTATATATATTTATAGAAAAAAAATCTTTATTTGAAATTTTTTTTAACTTGATATAAGCTGAAAGTAGTACGATTTCTTCTCTGCTTTCGTCTAGCAAAATTCTCGTCGTTCACACCGTTAGGAATAACTCGATGATGAATTTCGTTGTCTAAGGATTTTAAAAAATGTCAATTGATAGCATTCATTGTATAATAATTTTACATAAAAAAATAAATAGATATAATTTTTAATAATAGGGGCTGGTTCGAGCCATAAAAGGATTATGTACCTAAACATGTGCAAAATTTTATAATGTATAGGCATTTTATTTATTTTTTTCTCTTCAAAAAAACTATACAAGGAGCATATTGAATGCAGATATGAGAAACTGAGAACGGTGATTAGGGATGATCAAATTTTTTTTAAAGAATATTTAATATAGAGATACATAATACTTTTCAAAGAGTTCAATAAGATGCAAGATACAGTTGCTTAGAAATAAACCATATGCGGAGCTTATTGATTGAAAATATGACCAACTGAGAACTGTAATTAGGGGTGGGCAATTTTTTTTAAGAAAAAATATATAAGATAAAAATACATAAAATATTTTTCAAAAACTTCGAAAAAATACAAGATTCAGATACTTGGTTAAAAAATTTGAAAATATATCTAGATACAGATACTGCAAAAAGATATTTAATAAAAATTGACATATAATGTGAAACCTAATATTTTTGGATATTGTGTTAAAAGATTAAGACATAATACTTGACACAAAATACTTCATTTATATTAATTTTACTTTAAAAAAAAATTGTTTATAAATTTTATAAAAGCAATTTATTAAAACAATGTGATAATTCGTATAAAAAAATACCTATGTATACTATATTAAAAATTTTATAAATAATATTTATTTTTTAATATAATTAATTTCTAAAATAATTTATCTAACAATCTATGCTTATTTGTTCCTATTGACAAGTTTTGAAAAGCTAGATAGCTGTTCAACTGGGCTAGGGCTTAAGAGGGCAAAATAGTGTTATACTTTTTTAAAAAAAGCTGTTTAATGTGTATCTTGATAATTATTTTTGGGTTTTAAAAAATGTTTAATAGTTTAACACAATATTTAACCTTTTAAATATATCAAAAAATAATGAACATAATTCATAGAATCTGTATCTTTTGCTTATTAAATAGTTAAAAATACAGATACTCATTTTTTTAAGAAATATTTAAGATACAGATAAAAGGTACCTTTTTAAAAAGTAAAAAAAAATGCAAAGTATTTTGTAATTTAAGATACAAATATTTGCGATACTGCCCAAGAATATAATATATACTATTTTTAAAGAAAAATGTCTTTAAACAATATTTTACTATTAATATAAGCATGGGCTTATGTTTTTTTTAACAATCTGTAAAAATACGTATTTTTTATACGAGAGAGACCGGGGTAAAGTGATTTTTTATATCTCTGACGTTGTAAAAAGGTTATTGATTTCATATCTTAAAAATTTTAGTTAGTGTTATTAAAGAACCTAATTGTGACCACTAATGTGGCTTAGTCAAGCTTTAAGCCTAAAAAATTGAATTAAGCTTCTAAGTTAATTCTCGATTTGATTTTTGGATAAATATACGCTACGCTAGTTTATAGTTAACTAAAGTTAGTAAGTTTAACAACACTAATTTTAGTATAAATACTCTAAATTATAAATTAATAATTTTTCCTCTTTAAATTTAAATTATTAATGACTAATTTGTTATTTAAAAAAAAAGATTTGTTCTTTTTGTATTCTTATTTTTAAAATATATTTTTCTTTAAATTAAGTAATATCTATTTTTAAATTACATTTCGCCGTAGAATAAGGGTTGAAGGCGTGAATATTATATGGAAATAAATTATTGTTGGCCAAAGAAATAGTAGAGGTTGAACCAAATCCGGTAATCAACGATGCGTGGCTATTTTTGTCACCCAATGATTCCCAGTTATAAGGATAATAAAACATTATTTTTCTTAAAATAAAATCACTTTTACTAAAAAAAAATTTAAAAATAATATTTAATATTTTGTCTTTTTTTTCCAAAAATTAATTTTATAATAATATTTAATAGCACAATTTTATTTTATTTATTTTTCATATATATATATTAAATATATATTGTTTTTTGTCAAATTAAAAATTATTTTTGAATATTTGGAAATATTTTTTAATGGTAAAAAAAGGGGGTAGTTGTTTGTTTCTGGTTTAGTTTTATTTGTGAGTGAGGGGAGGGGGTGGGGGATATAAGAAAGGTTAAACAGGGTTATAGTTCCGAACCGAACCCCAATCTAGTTATTATCATAAAAATGAGAAATAAACATCGCTTATATATTTAACCTAAGTTATTATGTCCCTACATAGTTTGACTTTCAATGGTAGGGTTATGATGCATTTTATCTGCCAAAATTTAATTTGATCCTTTCTTGTAATTATATTTAATTTTTACGGGTTTTTTAATTTTATTATAGGAGACAAGTTAATTCATTACCGTTATTATGATGTCATAACGGGGTAATGAAATACATGGGGATTGGGAAATTTCTCAATTTTAAATTATTTGCGATTGTCAATTTTTTTTAAATTTGATAAAGTTTGATTTGACGGGAAAATATCAAATTTAACATGTATAGAGTGCCGAACCTTGCGAATTTCATAAAATTTGCGTTGAATTTTTGAACTTTATACTTTTAGTTTATATAAATTATAAATATAAGTCACTCACCGGGTCAAGTCAGATATTTTTTTTCTCCAAAAAAAATAGTTTCCTAGTGGGGGAGACCGGGGTAAAGCGATTGACGGGGTAACAATGTTAACGCGAATAACTTTTTAACCATTGAGTATAAAGACCTTAAATTTGGTGTGAAGATGTATTTTTATATCTAATTTCTTACCTATGTTCATCTTTTAAAAAACTTACCTGGTTTTATATATTTTGTCAAAAAACTGTTTTTTACCCAAAAAATATAAAAATCAATCTCTAGTATATTTTGCTTTTAGTAAAATTTACATATCCTCAGGATTCAAAATTTGGCACACATGTTCCTTAATGTATTAACTATAAAATAAAATTTATCTGACATCTTTAGCTATATTAGAAGTCACGCAATAACGATATATATAATATATGTCACCTAGGGGTAAAGCTGTTATGGGTAAAACGGTTAAAATATAAAATTATTAATTTTTCATTCATTCATTTATTATAATCAAATAAATATTGATATTTAATATTAAAGTTACCAATTGAGCATTATTAAAATTATGAAATTAATTCAATTTATTTAATTAATTATATATCATTTTAACTCTATGGAACTGGTATTGTTAATTATTAAAATGAAATTGTTTTATTTTATAAATAAACAAGATAAGAGGATTTGCATATCAGCTTGCTAAAGAATATGGCAAATCTTTCCCAGAAAGCTGGACAACTAATGGTATGGCTGGAGAGGACTGGTTTATGGGGTTTAGAAAACGACATTCCCAACTTTCGATTCGTACCCCAGAAGCTACTAGTCTAGCAAGAGCATATGGCTTCAATCCCACAAATGTCAATAAATTTTTTGAAAATTTAATTAAGCTATATAATTCTTATAACTTTGAACCACATAATATATGGAATGCAGATGAAAGTGGTTTCACCACCGTTCAAACTCCTGCAAAAATTATAGCACAGAAGGGTGCCAAACAAGTCGGCTTTATAACGTCAGGAGAAAGAGGAACGTTAGTTACAATATGTTTAGCCATCAATGCTATAGGCCATAGCATTCCACCATTTTTTATTTTTCCAAGAAAACGATACAAAGATCACTTTATTCGTGATGGGCCTATTGGATCTAAGGGTGTGGGAAACGCATCGGGTTGGATGCAAGAGGAGGAATTTTTATCTTTTTTGGAACACTTTAAAAAATATTCTAGTGCATCCAATGAGAAAAATGTCTTATTAATCTTAGATAACCATAGCTCTCATTGTTCAATTTCCGTTATAAACTATTGTCGCTCCAATGGGATTGTTATTCTAACACTTCCACCACATTGCTCGCATAAACTCCAACCATTAGACAAAGCAGTTTATGGGTCATTGAAAAAGTTTTATAATGGAGCTATTGACACATGGATGAGAAATCATCTGGGCAACAATTTCAGATTTATGATATTCCAGGAGTGTTAAAAAATGAAATACCAAGGGCAGTGACACCAAATAATATATTAAATGGGTTGTTAGCATGTGGCATATTTCCTTTAAACCCAAATATATTTACAGAACAAGATTATATCTGCTGTAATAATTCAAATGCTAGCTCAAATATTGAATTTGAAAATAATGATGAAAATATTACAGTGACTCAAAATCTTACAGTGACTCAAAATCTTACAGTGACTCAAAATCTTACAGTGACTCAAAATAATGATAGTGATTTATCTATATTATTGAACGAAAATGTTCCAGATGATATTGATGAACCTTATCATGATATGTTACCATCATGCTCAAAAAATTATAATAAAGTATTCAATCCTTCATCTATAATACCTATTCCAAAATTATTCAATATTTCATCGGATAAAATATCTAAAAAAAAGAATTCAGAAATATTAACATCTACACCTTATAAAAAAAAATTATTAATTCAGAGAAAAAAAAATATATCAAATAATAATTGTTTATGTGTTATTTGTAATAAAAACTATAAAAATAGTCGCGAGGGCGATGAATGGCTAAAATGTACAATGTGCCTTGAATGGGCACATTCTAAATGTGCTAATTATGATAATTATTTTACATGTCCTTATTGTATGGATTAGTTTTTAAATAAAAATCATAAATAAATCTTAAATTTGTAATATTTGTTAAATAAAACAATAAATATGTGTCAAATATTATTTTAACCACTTTACCCTAGTGCTTATCCATTTTACCCTGGAATGAGTAGTTTTACATAACTAATCATAGCTCCTAAAATATTATAGATAGAGGGCTACACTTTTTTTTATCTTGTAGAAGAGGGATGGGGCTACACATTGATCTATAATTTGTTGTGTTTGACTCTTGTTTAAAATTTTTATGGTAAATATGCAAAATGCCTATCGTTTTACCCCGGTCTCCCCTAATAGAATTATGAATCAATATCGATTCAATATACCCAAAAGGACTTATAATAAATAGAAAGTAAATTAGTTATTAACATTAACTTTGGTTTAGATTGGTTGCTTGCGTATTTTGATTTAATGGGGGGGGGTTTAGGGTAGGTGTTTTTGGTTTCCATGGAAAAAGAGTATTTATAGAATTCGTATTTTGATTCTTAGGATGAATCATAATAATTTGTAAATTAATCAAATTTTTGCTTTCCTTTTAATTTTATTATTATATAATTCCAAACTAATATATATATATTAATTTTTGAGATTTAAAGTTTATTTTATTTTTTTTTGAAATTTTAATTAATTTTTTGCTCTTCTTATTTTAAATTATACCATAAAATGACTACAATTTTTGATAGTTTCATATTTTAATATTAATGATTAATTATTGCTACAAAAAATAAATAATAAAAATTATTTTAATCTAATTTTAAGATACGAAGCTTGGTGACCTATCCCAGTCTGATTCGAGTTCAATCTGTTCCAACTCATATCGATGGAATCTAACAGTCATTCTCTCATTCGGGAACCACATTTTGACTAAAAAAATTTTATTTGGCCTGACCATGCTCGAATCTCGGCTAAAAAAACTTTTTAAAAAAATTTCCAAATATTTCGCATTATATAATTCGAATATTATATTTATTTTTTTCTTATCAGGATCCGAGTCTGCCCTGATCCTCAAATTTAAAAAAATATTTTAACTGATGAAAAAAAGTAGGATTATTAAAAAGAATGCCAAAAGTTTATGCACCACATTTTTGTTTATATTGTTTATAATTGACGAATAATTAAAATAAAATGAATATATAAAAAAAAAATATTAACCTTCACAATAAAGCTATGAAGAAAATAAATAATTCCTGTTATAAGTAAGAATATGCCTAACCGGCAAAATAAAATATATCAAATCTTCGCGTTTTTTATTGGTATTCTAATTTATATAGAACACTATACAATTCCAATCAGTTTTTGATTATAAATCTTTTTTAAACATTTAATAAAAATAGATTATATGGAAATGCAAAACAATTATGGACATTCCCCCCTCCGTTACATAGGTTTAATATGGACCTGAGAAAATTTTAACATCCTCCTATTTCCCCCCTTCCCTTCAGAATACTTTTACCTCTAACCCCTTTCCATGTTTTCTCCTACTTCCTTCATTTGATTAACTTGTGACATATCTCCCTCCCTAACCGTGGTAGACTCATCAGCTATTCCCGAAACTTACATTAGCGCCCTGGGTATTACTAGGAATAATTTCCATATAATTTCATCTCCAAATCAATCACTAAATATATTCGGTAAAAATATTAGGGCTTAGTGAGTATATTCTATGAGGGAGAAAATTCACCTAAAATATTTTACGTGGTCGTTGTCCAGACTTGTTTAAAAAATTTGTCATTTTATTCTTTGCGGTGTGTCCTCATGGGTAGTGAGTTAGATTGTGACTCCAGCAAATCTTCTAGATAGGTATAAACCCCAGATCTAAATTATTTGGTAGCTTAGGCATTGATAAATATCTAATAAATTCAAAAAAATTAAATTGTATCACAAAAAAATATACCTATGACTAAATTTAAAACAATTCGCTTTAAAAATGAAAGAGTAAGACTGCCTTGTAATCCTCATGTCATATAGCTCCAGTCTCCTCTACCATCCAACCCAATTTTTTTTTAAAGTTTAGATAAATTATTATAATCTAATCAATTTAGTAGATAGTTATAATAATGATTGTATTTTAATTTTATTCAATATATTAGTAAAATGAAGAAAGTATAAAATATAAAATTGTTATTATAATTTTTTAAAAAAAAGGTAAATTTGAATGTGAAATTTTGTC